TGGGGTCGGGGGCAGGGGACACCCCATCCCAGCATGCACTGCAGGGCCGTCTGGGGGCCTGGGGGGGGCGGCTAGAGGGGGGTCAGCAGAGCAGTCAGCAGGGCCCAGCTCTGCTCCCGCCCTGGAACAGAAGCTGCTGATGGGGAATGCCACCGCACGCCCCTGGCTCGCCCAGCTCCATGGCTGCCTGAGCCTCTGGGGCCGAGGGAAGGCTCTGGGTGGTGGGGCGCCTGTGAAGGACATCTTCCGTCGCCAGCCTCAGCCGCCCTCGGAGTGGTGGAGAGTAAGGCCAGCAGCTCCTAAGCCGAGCGGACTCAGTGGCAGGTTTAGAGGAACTACAAAACAGCCTTTTCTGTTTAAACGGGCTGCTTATCCGCCTTAGACGCTTGGGCGTGCTTTACTCGGTCTTAAGGATGCTGTCTGCAAGGTTAGGACAGGGCCGGCCGACTTCGGCTCAGTCTCCGGCTGTATTAGCATCGAGTCCCCGGTAAGTGGGATCTCGGCTTACCTGGTTTTACTCTAGGGAGTCAGCCTGGGTCCCGGAGAAGATGGAATTCGACTTAGAGTAGATTGCAAGGGATTTACTGAGGAAGGGCCCAGGGAGGCCGGGCTTGGGGAGGAGGGACGCGGAGGAGGCCGGGAATGCCACCAGACTGCAGAGAAGGTGGGACCCGCAGAGGAAGGTGCGGCAGAGAGTGGCGTCAGGTGGGGGGGGGGGGGGCCCCGCAAAGTCACGTGGCCACTAGGGCCCGGATGGTGAAGGGACAGAAGGGGACAGTAGGCCTACTACGTGACAGGGACTGGCAAATAGTGGTCTGATGGCTTCCTGCTGATTGCTGCAGGCCCACTGGGACCCACTGGGACCTCATCACCTGATTTTTCTTTTTTGGTAAATTTTTTGTTTACTTATTTTTGAGAGAGAGAGAGCACAAGCGGGGGAAAGGCAGAGAGAGAGAGAGAGAGAGAGGGAGACACAGAATCCAAAACAGGCTCCAGGCTCCGAGCTGTCAGCACAGACCCCGACGCGGGGCTCGAACCCACAATCCATGAGATCACGACCTGAGCCAAAGTCGAGGTTCAACCGACTGGGCCGTCCAGGCACCCCACCCCCACCCCCACTGGCTCTTTAACCCCATCTGGCACATCGCTCAGGTCTGCCTCGTGTGGGGTCCCCTGTTCTACCTGAAAACTGACCCAGGTGAACATCACGGTCACAGGAGGCGGTGGTGTTCGGGGGCTGGTTCCAGATGGCCCCACTGGAGACAATGAATGCCTCACGCCACAGTTGGGCTCTGACTGTGGAAGTTTCAAGCTCTGTGTGAGGCTGATGGGGCAGCTGAGCCTTTACAACCCAAATTTCACGACCCAGACCTGTGCAGGGAATCACCCTGAATCCTAACCCGGGAAGGCACTAAGGATTTCCAGAAGGCGCGGAACATAGGCCAATGGAAACCCAGTTCAGTTCAGCCGAGCTTTGCATGTAGCAGGTGCTGTGCACAGAACCGTAAGCAGAAAGAAGCTCCTCCTTCCAGAGGTTTTTCAACACGGGACTGCCTTCCCCATCAGACCAGGAGCTGCAGCGACCTCAGCCCCAAGCACAGTGGCACTGCCACAGCCCGAGCACTGGGAGGGGGACAGAGAGACCTCTCCGCAAGCCAGGCTCTCCCAGGGAACCACGTTTGGACCCCTCACTTGTCACTCCTCACTCCCTGGGTGGATGCTGTTTCCTGCTTCTGACAGGGATTCTGTTTGCTTTGCTCAGTCTCCCAGAAGTCCCCCCCCCCCCGCCCAGGGCTTGAAGCTTGGGGGCTAGGGCAATATTCTAAATATTTAATAACCAGCAAGGCAAAGGCTTGCTATGAAATGTTCTAAATATTTAATAACCCGCCAGAAAAGTTGAGGCACCGGAATGCACCCTGGAGGATCACCGAGAGGCCCAGGGCGCCCCGGGGAGGAGCTGGGTCTCTGGGGGGCGGCACCCTCGGGGGGCGCAGATACTCTGTGTTTTCATATTGGATAACGTCCGCACGGGGTGCGCTGGCCGGTGTCAGCTCGGCCGCAGCTTGAAACAGCCGAGCCTGACGGCGCTGTTTTTCCCCCCTTGGCCCACAGACAAACTCACGGAGGAAGAGTTCATCGAGGGGACCCTGGCCAATAAGGAAATCCTGCGACTGATCCAATTTGAGCCTCAAAAAGTGAAGGAAAAGTTAAAGGAGAAGAAACCCTGATGCCAACTGCGCAGCCCTGTCCCCCTCACCCCTTCCCCCGCCGCGCACAGAAACCCGGGCATGCACACACCTCCCCAGGGGCCTTAGCGTCCCTCCCGTTCCTCCCAGCCACCTCCTCTCCCTTGCCCGCCCCTTGGGGCCTCCGTGATAATCCCAGGATTGGGTCGCTGGAGTCCTACCAACCCTCCCCCACCCCCCCACCACCGTGTAAGCTCCTTTGTGGTTTGCTGGGTAAGCAGGTTCCAATAAATGCGAGAGGAGCTGGGCACACAGCTGACTGGTCGTTCTTGAACTGGGAGAAGGAATGACTTCTGTTGTCTCAGCCTCCGAGACCAGGACGCATGGCCGTTGCAGACACCGGCCAGGGTGGGGAGGGGTGAGGGGAGGGGAGCAAGCATTGCCCTGCTCTCTGGCAGATGGAGGGCTGCAGGGGGTGCCCTGTGGGCCTCCAACAAGCTGTTCCGGGTGGTGAGGTTACTGTGGAGACCTGCACAGCATGGGCAAGAGGGGCCGGCTGCTCCAGACGGTCAGGGAAGGGGTTATTGTTACAATCACCTGCCTGACACCCCTCCAGTATCAGACAAGTAAGGAGCCAGCTCAGGGGGAGAAGAAGGACCTTGGGTCCAGCTCAGGGTAGCCCAAGGGTTGGGCCAAAGGGCTTCAGGGTTCCTTCGCCAACCCCCACCCCGCCCCCCAGCCCTCCACGAGTGAATCCGATTTGTTGGGGAGTCAGGTTGGGGGCTTTTCACTTCTCTCTGAAGTCAGGGCACCCATGTCACTTGAGTTGAAAAGGAGATAGGGCACCTGGGTGGCTCTGTTGGTTAAGCGTCCACCCAGGACATCGATTTCGGCTCGGGTCATGATCTCATGGTTGTGAGATCAAGCCCCGGGCGGGGCTCTGTGTTGCGTGTAGAGCCTACATGAGATTCTGTCTTTGCCCCTTCTTCCCACTCACATGTGCTTGCGCGCTCTCTCTCTCAAAAATAAAAACAAAACAAAAATGCAAATTAAAACCACCCCATACCGGTTAGGATGGCAATTATCAAAAAAGTAGAAAGTAGGCGTTGGCAAGGAGGTGGATAAATTGGAACCCTTGTGCTTGGTGGGTGGGAATATAAAATGGTGCAGTTTCGGAGAACAGCTTGGCCATTCCTCAGCTTGGTTAAACAGAATGATCATGTGATCCAGCCGTTCTCCTAAGCATCTATCCAAAGAATTGAAAACAGAGACCCAAGCAGACCCCTTCACGCCGCCATGCTGACACAGCGTGATTCGACAGTGGCTAACATGGGGAAGCAACCCAGGCGTCCATCAACCGATGAATGGATCGAAAAAACAGCCGTCCAGTGGAATATTCTGTCATAAGAAAGAATGAAATTTGGGGCACCCGGGTGGCTCAGTCGGTTCAGTGTCCAACTTCGGCTCAGGTCATGATCTCACGGTCCGTGAGTTCGAGCCCCACATCGGGCTCTGTGCTGAGGGCTCAGAGCCTGGAGCCTGCTTTGGATTCTGTGTCTCCCTATCTCTCTGTTCCTCCCCTGCTCTCTCACGCTCTCTCTCTCTCTCTCTCTCAAAAATAAACAAAAAAGAATGAATGAAATTCTAGTACATGCTGCAACATGGATGAACCTTGAGGACATTATGCTGAGCGAGGTAAGCCAGTCACCAAAAGACAAATACCGTGATTCCGCTGATATAATTAATGTACCTAGAGTTGTCACGTTCAGAGACAGGAGGTAGAATGGTTGTGCCAGGGGCTGGGGTGGGAAGATGGGGGGTTATTGTTTAATGGGCGCAGAGTTTCCGTTTGGGAAGGTGAGAAAGTTCTGGAGACGGACGGTAGGGACGGTTGGACAACAGTGACTTAATGTCACTGAACTATAGACTTAAAAGTGGTTAGAGTGGCAAATTCAGTGTTATATATATTTAACCACAGTAAAAAACAGAATCACTCAAGAACTTCTAAAAATACCTGTGTCCAGGCTCATTCAGACCAATTTCGTCAGAATCTCTGGCTCACGCCCCGGCCATCAGTGTTTCTAGAAATTTCCTCAGGTAATTGTCATGCCAGGATTGAGACCCACTAGGCCAGACCTTCAAAGCAACAAGCAAAGTGAATGACCTACGGGGTGGTCTAGCTGAGGGAAGATACTTGCTCCCCGCCCTCTTGACCGCTGACCTCTGACCTCTGTCCCCTACCCTTCTGCCCACTCCTCTTGGTCCCCGAGGAGGCTTAATGCTACAGCCCTTTCTTCTACTTCTTTTTTTTTTTTAATTTTTTTTTTTAACGTTTATTCATTTTTGAGAGACAGAATGCAAGCAGGGGAGGGGCAGAGAGAGAGGGAGAGGGAAACACAGAATCTGAAACAGGCTCCAGGCTCTGAGCTGTCAGCACAGAGCCCGACGCGGGGCTCGAACTCACGAACCGTGAGATCGTGACCTGAGCCGAAGCCGGCTGCCTAACCGACTGAGCCACCCGGGTGCCCCCTGTTTCTTCCACTTCTACCCAAGAACAGCTCACTGGGTCCTTCAAGGCACCAGTAAGAAACACATGTCAAAGAATCGACCACATACAAACCAAATTAAATAAACTTATTTTAATGTTTAGCAAGACAAGAGCAAGCTGTGTGTGTGTGTGTGTGTGTGTGTGTGTGTGTGTGAGTGTGCGTGCACGTGCCCACATGCACGCCATTTGCGGAGTGAAGACAGGGCAGGACATATTTACAGACGCTTTGGGGAAAGAAAAGTTCTCTCTATTCGAGGCCGGATCCCGGGTGACTCACCCGCATCTGATGATCCCAGGACATTTCTGTCCTGTGTCACCGATGAACGTGTGCTGAGTGCCTACTCTGGTCCAGCTGTGCTGGGACCCCAGCTTTCTAGGACGAGGAAAGTCAGAAACATTGAGAGCAAGGAGAAATTAGGAGGATGTGTATTTTAATGACTGAACTCTGGAAAATCTGGACCCCACCCCCCCACAAATACCCCTTTGCTTTGTTATGCCCTTGTCTGTCCTGGGCAAAGTGCCAAGAAAACCTCAATCACCAAGATAAATAATATTTTGGGGCAACCGTTTAAAAATAGAAACGAATATTAAAAAGTCCATGATGAGCAGAATAGTCAATAAAGTCAGGATCAGACTCTGCCTTTGTAGGAACTGACCTCACTCTCAGCCTGGCCCTGGGTCTGATAAAAAGTTATGTTTATAAAGGGCCCATCCGCTGTAGCTTGCGGATTATAGTTTATTTTTTTAATGTCGTGTTAAAATATCACTTATCGTGACAATTGAGGTGTTTTTCCCAGGACTGTCCGAAATCTTGTACCCAAACTGCTTTCCTCACCTGCCTCACCCTTGTCCCCACCCGTGTTGCAAAGCATCCTTGACAATGGAGTTGCCAAATAAAATACAGGATGCAGGACTTCATCTGAGTTGCAGATAAAGGGGAATACTGCTACAATACGATTATTCATGTATCTGAAATGCAAATGTAACTGACTGTTATGTATTTGAACTCCTAAGTCTGGCAACCCGCCTTGATAAATACCATACCGTCCCTCCCCCTGTTGCGTGGCTCTATCTGGTCCCCTGGCAACGTACCCGCCCACGTACACATGCATTTTGCACTCCCTAAAAGCGACACTCCAGGGAATGAACACGCTTTTCTCTAGGCTGTTCCTCCTGTGGTTTTCCTTCAGCCCCTTGACTTATGCATTCAGTCGCTGAGCCTGACTCTAATGGCCCGGACCCCGCTCAGCCTCCGGATCACGCTCCCCTCAAGGTCTCCAGCATGCAAGACTGGGACGTGAACTGGATGCCAAAGTGGCCTGGGTGCGTGGGGAAGACCGGTGACTCTGAACCGTGCTCTCGGGGAGCAGAGCCAGGGCGGTGGGCCTCCAGACTAGATCTCGCTCTCTTCCAGAATCTCCTCCATGGTGTGGGTCAGGGTGAAGTCTCCCTCGCTGCTCTCGGACAGGCTGCTGCCCCGGGGCCAGGCCCCGTGTCCTCGAGGCGGCCGAGCGCCCAGCCCCCCCAGGCCCTGCATGGCCAGGTGCAGGAGCTGCCCACCGCCCGGCGAGGGCTGCGGCTTCTGGAGCGTCCCCTTGCCGTCTGCCTGGGACAGCTTCTTGGGACATTTCCCCAGGAATCGGAAGTTCTTCTCCAGGACCCAGGCCCTGCAGCCGGAGTGGCGGGCGAGCAGGAAGCGGACCCAGTGCTTGCGCAGCTCAGCCTTCACCTGCCAGGGTGGGGGTGGAGGGGAGAGAGGGCGGGTCACTGCCCTGGAGTCACTCTGCCGTGTGTGTGTGTGTGTGTGTGTGTGTGTCCTCTCGGTGATTATTTACTGCGTGGCTCCTACGTGTCGCCGCTGGGACACTTACCTCCTAACTGGGGATGATGAGCAGACAGAAGCAACTGAGAAGCACAGGACGCTGAGCAGGACAGTGGGGCGAGGGGGCAGAACTTTGAGATACGGTGTTCTGGAAAGGACTGTGTCAAGGCAGCACAGGACACGTGCCTGGCGGGCAAGGTGCCCCGTCGCGAAGACAGAGGCAGCAGCAATGAACAGGGAGGGGGAAGCGGGTTTTGCTGTCGAGAAGCTCCCATTCTAGTGGGTGAAAGGGGGCCTGGAAATTCCACCAACTCCTAAAGCCGAGAGAGAACCGTCTGGCCCCTGCCCTCCTCCTTTTGAGCCCCTTTCCAATGCTTGCAATAATATTAAGAAAAGCCATCATAGTTACCAGGTGTGGGGCTTTCACCAGGAGCTCAGCAAGCCCAAGGCAATACTATAGGGCAGGGACAGATATTATTCCCAATGTACAGATGAGAAAACTGAGGCTCAAATAGCTACGATGCCCTGACTCAGGGTTGGGTTCTGAGCTTTTCACTCATCCCAACACCTTTTCCCACTGGTCTCAGCTGCCTCCTGCTCCCCCTGCTGGGTGCTCAGGGTACAAATTTGTCCCAACATGTGCCTGGCACTGCACCCACCCCGCCCCACGGCACCATCACACGCCCAGCCACCTCCAGGGGGGACAGCAGGAGGCCAACCCCGGCCTCACCGGAACCTGGCTGGCCGCTC